ATAGTCTGAAACGTCAATTTTATAATCTTCGCAACATTTAATTCGTCCTGCTCTAATGGCTTCATAGTGCCCTTATGTCTAGTATAAGATAGACTGATTATACGTGCCTCCATTCATTTCTCTCATTAGAAGACGAACTAGATATTTACAGGTCAAGAAGAATTGGCAATCAATCTAATGTAAAATATTAAGTAAATGGGTCAATAAAGATCAATGAAAAATATTCCCCTCTGGAATAATTATTGAAGGAACCTTAATAGTGAATATGTTAATAAAAACATATAAGATGGAAGGTCACAGCTCATTTTCTGCTTCTTAGTGAGATACTAATGCGGGTTTTCATAGCTTTATTATAAAATATATTATTTAGAACAATTATTGTGAACAGATCGTGGAATGAATCAACGCAGACTAACCATTTAATTTAATATCTTCGGTATCATTGATTGTACAAACCTGCAAGGGGATGAAGATGTGATTGCATGAATTGATTTGGGCATCGAGATTAAAAAATCAAGATATAAATTAATCAGAAAAGAAAATAACTCTATATAAAGGAAGTTTAAACTTGGTATGTAGAAAAACAAGTTTTCAAAGAAGCCCTTAATAGAGTGAAGTTGGAGTACCTTTCAATTCGTATAAAGATGAGGGCTGATTAACAATTATTTTAGAATATTGTCAGATAGGAGGGAGGGAAATAAATAGTTGGAGTTAAATAAAAGGTTATACCAGTCTAACAGAGTTGTCATGTTGTCATCGTGTAATCTGTCGAAGAATTACTGAGGTAAGAAATTAGGATTATGTATAAAGAGAAAATAACACTTTCCTCGGCATTGCATTCCTTTTGAAAATAGGATCAGAGAGAGACGGGGGACGAAAAATATTAACAACCAAGAGGCTTTATTAGGCTCGAATTTGATTTTGACTTTCACATTACGCTCATTCCTAGAACGACGTACTCACACAGCACGCGCAAAATGGAACATGTGGTGACATTGCAGGATCAAAGGTATAAGTGTTTTAGAGGAGAGTGCAGCTGCTTGATCACAATTGCATCCGTTACACGCTTTATATGCAGCAACTTCGCATGTTATCTTCAGTCGCTTAACTTAACTTTTAAGCAAACATTCAGGCAAGGCATATTATATCCAATGAAAGCATGATTTGCCTAAGTGGATCAAATCGGACTATAAGTAGGTAGGCTTTAAGCCTGCCATCTTCCTTGCCTTCGTGTTTTGATGAATTATCCTTAAGCAAGCTGTCCCGCTTAGACGATGTCGGTCACATGACGGAAGGAATTTCAACAAGGATTCATGGGGAGTGTGTAGAGAACCTATCTGCACGAATCTACAATCACAGCTCCAAGGCAATCCCCCTACAGCTTCCATTGAGACTAACTTACGAATCCCTTACACTAGCCTCTTCAGACGAAATGAAAAGTAAACAAACATGAGTTTAAACTTGTTTTAGAATTTTGGTCGTATCGTCAGGGAAACCTATAAGAAAAGACTTTGTCGGGAGTTCAGTCGGACCGGAGACTTGATACATTCCATGACGTCTCGCCGGCATCGTCAATAAGCCTTACTACGCTTGGAACCACACTATAATTATTTAAAGAGACAAGTGAAGTTGATCCATTGACCAATTGTATGTTAAATAGATGTGGTATCACTTCTTACGTCCTGGGGTATTCATCTATCCTATATCCTCGTCTCATCTCTTCATTATCACAATTTAATACTCGTTTAACCAAACAAAGTTGAGACCTACTCACACTCTCCTCTGGTTTCCACAGCCGGCGACGTGTTCCATGAAGTAAATGCTTGGACAAGAGATTTACTCGGTGCACATGCCGAAAAATGATGAGTGAATCTGTAGCATCAAGTTAGGTTTTCCTGCAACCTTAGAATCCAGACCATGAGGGCTTGATCAGTGAGACTGGTGTAAACGTAATATCAAAGGCTTGAGGCAGAGTGAAGAACATAACGCCTCGAGTAACATGGATACCATAACAGGGGTTGAATGAAATCAGTAAACCAGGCAGATAAGAGATGGATTGTACGGAGCAAAAGGGAGACTGTGATTGGACTTGGAGGAAAAGGATTACGGAATAGGGTGTATCCTTGGATCAACACTCCTAGCACAGTTGAGAGATATAGGTGCCAACAAAGACGAGGTGAAGAGTTCTAGTGGGGTGTTAAGAATGTCAAAGCTTACTGACGATGCTGGCGGGAAGTCCGCGAATGTACTATGTCCAAGGTCCGACTTAGGAAATTGATCTGCATACTATAGACTCCGGACAAGGTGCCTCCCTCTCAGGTTTCCTGCCAATATGACCAATTTGCGAAAACAACTAATATATAACGAAAGAAGACGGCGAACACACTTAAGGTCAAACCATATTGGTGTTCATAGCCTCTAATAATCATTGTTTTAATGGTGGGATGTTGATGTATGAAAAGAAAGTATGTAGTGACAGCTGTTTCCATGGCTAAATAATCAAGATACACGAATGCTGTAGCAGAAGACTCACTTCTAGGTACCTTTCACAAGGTCTACCTTCG